ATATCAATCTTCATGCATTCCATTTCATTTTTGACAACTCCCAATTTTCCTAGATTCACAATTTGTACATTCCATGTTATGATTAATGGATGCTAACAGTTATTTCTCTTCATTTTGTGTTGAGTCTCATCAGAATATTAAGGTTCTGAAAGTTTTTCTCAATTCATATTATCATGGTCAATTCTACTTTGTGGAGACAGCTCTTCCCCAGTCCTATTGTGAGTACTTTTCAACCTGAGGGGCTCCTCTTCCAGCACTATATACTGAGTAATTTTAGATTAATAGTCCCATAGGCTTTCCTATGTTGTAATCTCTATGGGTGCAGATCACCAAGGTTTTCTCCCACAGAGCTGCTTCTTGTTGTTTGTGTTACGTGTTGTCAAGGTGGTTCTGACTACAGCAACCCTTTATAGGTTTTCCAAAGAGCAACGTGTAGCTTGAACTGCCAACCTTGTGGTTAGCAGTGCAGTGCTTATCCTACAGTGCCACACCATGGAGCTACTTGGGTTTAAACTGCCAATCTTTTGGTTAGCAGCTAAGCACGTAGCCACTACACTACCAGGGCACCTCAGTCTTCAGGTATAGAGTCCAGGAATTTGAATTATTAATAGTTTTCATAACATTTTTGATGAAGGTAGTTTACGTTCAAGTTTATATATAGAATATATAAAGGTGGTGTTTAAACATAATAGGCAGTTGTTGATTTCTTTTTTTATTGTGTTTAAGGATGCCCAGTTGATGCTATTGTCCTGGAAGCTCCATTTACCAACATCTGGACTGAAACTATCAATTATCCCTTGCTAAAGGTGAGTCTCTGATTCTTCACTTTATGTAAAAGCCTTGGCTGTATCCACATACTTATGTTATTAACCACTATCTTTTTCTTATTTTATATGTCTCTAAATTCTTCTCACTTGAGACAGATCATTAACCAGTTGCCATGAAAGGGTATGTGATGACATTTCGATTTAGTAGTCTTTTTATTTTCTTCTCTAACAACTGAGCCGTTATAAAACAACAACAAAACTTAAACCTTTAATTGCTTTGGTTTCATTCATTTTTTATTATTCCTTTTAAAAGTTGAAATCTCTCATTACTTTTAGATCTCTGAACTGCCAAGTATGCCTTTCATGATTCTCTGATTAGACTTGTTGCTGTTAAGTGCGGTCAAGTTGGTTCAAACTCATAGCGACCCTGTATAGGGTTTCCAAGGAGTGGCTGGTGGATTTGAACTGCCGACCTTATGGTTAGCAGTCTAGTGCTCCTCTTACATTGCCAGAACAGGACTCCATGATTAGATAGCTCTAGGGAATTATCTCTCTGGCTCATCTGCGACCATTTGTATGGTGAGAATGACTGCACAAGATTGAGCTAAAGGAACTTTGTACTTTAATTTTATAAAGTATATACTAGGCTGTTTTCCACACAGTATCCCAGGTAGAGAAGACAATCTTTCCCACAAAATAAAGTACAAAGAACTGGGTCACAAGATATGCTTAAAAAAAGTCTGTTGTATAGATTATCATAATTTTATAATTTTATTCCATGCCTTGACTCAATTTCATGTAGTCATATCCCCATACAAATGGTAGCAGATGACTCAGAGAGGCATGTGGAATTCTTAGAAGGGAGATAGGGCCAATATTTACTAACTATTTAATGTTGTAAGGTATTTTGTATCCTGTTCATTGTTAGTTGTCATTGAATTGATTCTAACCCGTGGCAGCCCATGTGTGCAGAGTAGAACTGCTCTAAAGGCTTGTCAAAACTGTGATTTTTCTGAAGCAGATCATCAAGCCTGTCTTGTGAGTCACCTCTGAGGGGTTCTAACTGCCAATCTGAACCATTCGTACCTCCCAAGGCTCCCTTCTGGTGGTGGTGATGGTGGTTGTGTGCCACTGAGTTGGTTCCAACTCACAGCAATCCTGCATAGGGTTTCCGAGGCTATAAATCTTTATGGAGCAGAAAGCCTCATCTTTCTCTCATGGTTGTTGTTGTTAGGTGCCATCGAGTTGGTACCGACCCATAGCAACCTTATGCACAGGAGAACGAAACACTGCCCGATCCTGGGCCAACCTCACTATTGTTGCCATGCTTGAGTCCATCAATGCTGCCACTTGGCCAGTCCATCTCGTTGGGGGTCTTCCTCTTTTGCTCCAACCCTCCACCTTATCAAA